ATGATGGAAATGGTTGTACGTGTGTAGGATTTCGAAGAAAGTGGTAGAGTTTATTTATCTCAGATTCTCCAGCATCTGCAGTTCCTACTATCTCTGCAGGAATGAATGGCTAATTTGTAATTGTGTAGAATAAACTCTACCCCTTTCTTCTAATTCCTACACACGTACAAACAGATACATGAAGCCACAAGTATTATGGCTGGGGAAGTGCAAATAAGTCAGAGATACATAGTTCTAGCACTAGTTCATCAGTGAATTGTCTCTTTTAGTTCCTTTCGATTCTTCAACCAACGCACAAGATTTGAGTACGCACCTTCTCAGTATCGCATTGACTTTACAATTGAAAGAGGTTTCTCTCCTTTGCCTTTTAACAAATTAGTTTGCATAACAAATTTGAGAATGTGCGCACCCAAATCTTGTGTGTTCGTTGAAGAATCGAAAGGAACTAAAAGAGACAATTCATTGATGAACTGGTGCTAGAACTGTACATCTCTGACTTATTTGCCCTTCCCCAGCCATAATACTTATGGCTTCATGTATCTGTTTGTACGTTTGTAGGAATTAGAAGAAAGTGGTTGTGTTGTGTATCTGCAGGTATTTTACAATCCCAGCCAGCTGGAAATCTTAGGGTTAATCTTGAAGCTGGCTGTGAACGTTTCTTCTTTATGGTCAGATCACAGGATTGAGGTTCCAAAATTCATTCATTCATCCAGCACTTTGAGTGAGTTATTGCACCTTCCGCTTTAACTATCTGTAGACAGAGAGAGGAAACTCACACAGACACGAGCAGAATATGCAAACTCCACTCAGACAGTTGGCCAAGGCTGGAATCAAACTGGGGTCCCTGGTGCTGTCGGGCAGCAGTGCTAACCACTGTGCCACCATGCTGCCCCAAGAAGGGAGGAAGAAAGTTCAGGAAAGGCTAAGTCGTTGTCAATTGTTATCTGGTTTCTGCCAAAGTCAGAACGCTAATTGTAACAACTGGGTGAGACAGGGTAAATGGCTCCTCTTTGCAACCTCCTCCATTGGTCACACAAGGTTCTAAGTTTTTTTTTGCATTAGGCTACCTTTCTCCAATTAAACATGTAATTATTAATTATGATCAATATGGGGTTAATCAACAAGGTCTGTGGAGGCAAAGTGCAAATTTGTTAACCATAAAAACGTAGAAAAGTACCTTTTTGAAAAACGATTTTGAGCATTAGGCCTTCATGCAGTCAGTGGGCGCGCACGCACACACACACACACAGACACACACACACACACACACACACACATACACACACACATACACACATATATATATACACACACATATACACACACACACATACACACACACACATATACACATACACACACACACACAGACAGACACACACACACACACACACGCACACACACTTATGTACAAAGTTAATATAGTGTCCAATACAAAGGAAGATGAGAGAACATAAGATTTAGAGTCCTTTGGTTAACATTGAGGTGTAAGTTTTTAACCTGGGATGAAAGTTGTTAATGTCTTCGTCAGACGGATAAGTTTCGATGGGCTGTCTCCAACTGTAAGGAAGTCTCTGTTTTGACATTTCCCCCATCGAAAGTGATTCATTTGATTTCCGACCATCACTGTGGAAGCCTTTCAAAGCATTTTGTCTTGTCTGAGTCCAATCTGCACAGTTCCAACCAGCCGGGGTTCATTAATATCATATCTTCAAGAAACAAAGGGGTATAGTCTGATGACACAACAGAATCACGGAAACATATCAATGGCAAAGACCTAACTTGTGATTGAACAGGGCTCTTCTGGAGGGAAACACAAAAAGGTTCAGCAGATCCTCCCCCATGAGTCTGGGAAGTGAGATGAACTGCGGTTGTGTGAATAGCAGTACTGGAAGGTGGGCAGCGGCCGCACTGAGCAGTAATGCTACCAATAGCAGAAAGGGGGCTGTTGGTTGAAAAGGAGAGGTCATAGAATGGACCAAACCCTGGGATCCTAGCAAGAAACAGCAGAAGAGCAACAATGTTTTTGGCAGAGAAAATGAGAGAAAGTGAAAAGTGCACAGGACGGAAGCATTAAACATGAAATTAATAGATGCAACAAATAAAGCAATACACCTGTTACTTTCCTACAAGCTATCCATATGCCAGCCCCTCACATGGCACACCTTCTCCTGATAATTCTAGCTCAGAGGTGGAATGGTTTATGACACTAACTATTGCTTCTTAATTCCTGCTTCCTGTTTCAAAATGTTCTTTAAACCTGAGACTATCATATTCTGCATAAAACTATGCAAGCACGAGTATGAGTTGATGTTTTTGAACCCACCAAAAGTGCACAAGGGAAACAGTACTGTTAGTCTCCACCCTTAATAATTAAAGGGCTAAAGACATTGAGCTGAGTGCTTATAGTCCCCAGGTGTTCAAACTCCAAAATTTAAGACAGGGCTTCATTGACAGCAATCATCTCTAGATTAACACCAGTTCTTCACTTCTGGGTTTACGTTAGCCTGACGTCAGCAACTGTGGGTTTCAAGAATGGCGGTTCAACTCCTACAGGGAATGAAAAAATGCAAATTGAGTTGTCTGTGACCAAAAAAAAATACTTGAGATAACAAGGTGTAGAGCTGGATGAATACAGCAGGCCAAGCAGCATCAGAGGAGCAGGAAAGCTGATGTTTCGGGTCTAGACCCTTCTTCAAAAAATTCATTCCCCGCCCCCCAAAAAAAATACTCACAGATATTATTTGCATCTTATTGAAAAATATTCCCTCAATTGAATTATTTCCATTTTTAACACCAACAAGATTTTTGAATTTTTTTAAAAGACAGCTATCCTGGTCTGGTATTATGAAATATATTTAAAATCAACCATGTAGCATTATAAGGCATTCTGTACAGCAATTTCAATCATTTTCTGGCTTCTTTGGCCCAGTGGCTCAGGGTCGATTCCACCCTCAGGTGACTGTCTGTGTGGAGTTTGCACATTCTCTCTATCTCTGTGTGAGTTTCCTCCCACATCCCAAAGATGTGTAGGCTAGGTTGATTAGCCATGGGAAATACAGGGCATAGGAACAGGGTAGGTGGGGGGAGGGTGGCTTCTGGGTGGGATGCTCTTTGGAGGGCCAATGTGGACTCAGAAGTCCGAGTGACCTACTTCCACACTGTAGGGATTCCAAAGTTCAATTTCATTCCAATAGATTATTTGTGCTGCAATTTCCAAATGATAAATTTCAACTTTCTAGAGTGTGACACTGATATTAATTCAACCTCGTGCTTTCTGCGTAGAAGAGGACATTGGGTTTGTTTTACTCTACTACTCGATACAACATAGCACAGGATGAGTGACTCCGTCAATGTGTGTATCACTAGGACCATACACTTCCACTTGCAGAAAGCCCAATGGTATGCGTTTTGCTGAGGAGATACTAGAACCTCGAAGACTGAAATAAGACAGAATCTTCCACTTCTATCTACAGTAACGTGTGAAAACTACAGGAACATTTATTTACATGAAGATTGAAAACAAAGGCTGCATTTCTAACCTGGATGTGATACTTAACTTTATGATTTTATCAAGTTCTCTTACAGTGTTACTTGTAGCTTGGTTTCCTGCGGCCCGCATCTTCCTGTTGCTGTCTGTTTATGGGGAACACACAATGCATTATATTGCAGGAGAAATGACTTGGGCAAAGATTTTCAATATATAGATGTTTGGAATATCATCTGGAACTTCTTTCCTGCATCAGATTTAACCATACAGCCCAATAAGGATTAATAGCTTGTATAAAAACCACCTTGCCTGTTGTATTATTAACCTGCTTATTTTAATGGCTTTGCTGAAGTGGCAGACAAATCAATTTCACAGAAACATTGGAAGAGCAGTCATTTGGTAGTACACAATTTGAGCACTGTTGAAAAAAGACACATTTCTTCAAAGCTCTTCATCTTTCACTCAACAGGACCATTTGTAAGAAATGGCAATTCAAAGGAAAACCTGCATTTATACTGCATGAGAGGAGAGCGCTGACTGGCTCATGAATGGACTCCAATTTGTCGAGGCATTACCATGGGATGTACCAATCAATGATGATTGACAGTTAACAGCCAAGTTTTGCTCAAACTGTGAACCAGGCTGGATAACTCCGTTTGGTCGTAGCATTTCCCTGAGAAACAGACTAGCAGGTGGTTACCACCCATCTTGTCGAGTTTAAACAGGGGCAGTGCATGTCCATATTCTTTCTGGCTGCAAAGGGCAGGGCCCTGTGTATTAATCTATAGCTAGCCCCATAAATTGGTATTCTTGAGAACTGTCCTGATGAGGGTAAGATGAAAAGCATCAACAAAATGTGACTTTTGTCAGAAGTACTCAAGAAATATCACACTCAAAGATCAGATTTGTTTCTAGTGCCTCGGTCAGTCCAAGGTGGTCTGTCTGAACTCATTCCTTGTTAAAACTTTTTAATAGTTTAATACAACTGAGAGGCTTCCTTGGCCATTTAAGAGTCAACTGCTTGCTGTTTATTTGGAGTCACTTGTAGGCTAGACAACAGATTTCTATCTCTCAAGAACAGTTATGAATCAGGTGGATTTTTTTTCTAAACAATAATGGTCACCATTTGACTTTTTTTAATTTCAGGCTATGTTTTTATTTCAAGTTCCACAGTTTGTGGAGGCATTAGAGCCCATGTTAACTTGTGTCTCTGGATTCATAGCCCGAACGAAAATACGAGCATGCCAACACCTCCCTAACACATAAGAAACTCAGAAGAACCTGTACCGAACCATATAAAACCCTTAGCATACTTGGTGGGGTGAATGTAGAGAGGAAATTTCCTCTTGTGGAAGAATATAGAGGTAGGGACCCCTGTTTAAAAGTAAGGGTTTTCCTATTTAAGGCAGAGATGAGGTAACTCTTTTTTTGCTGTGGGTAGTTGTTTGTCTTTGGAACTTTCGTCCTCAAAGGTGCTGAAAGCAGAGCATTTGAGTGTTTTATTAAGGCAGAAATAGATGGATTCATGCTAAATGAGGAGTGGGAGTTAATCAGCAGTAGGTGGGCATTTTTTTTTCATTCACAGAATGGGAGCATCACTGGCTGGGTAGCATTTATTGCCTATCCCAGAGGGCAGTTCAGAGTCAACCACATTGCTGTGGGTATGGAGTCACATGCAGGCCAAACCAGGTAAGGATGGCAGTTTCCTTCCCTAAAGGGCATTAGTGAGCCAGGTGGGGTTTTCCCTAACAATCAGCAATGGATTTATGATCATCATTAGACTCTTAATTCCAGATATTTATTGAATTCAAATTCCACCAGCTGCAATAGCAGGATTTGAACCCAGGTCCCTAGATTAAAAGTCTAGTGATAATACCACTACCCTATTGCCTCCCCTTACATTCAGATCAGTCCTGATTTTATTAAATGGCACAGCAGACTTGATGGGCTGAGTATCCTAATTCTGCTGTTCTTCCAAATGTTCATATCAACGTTGGCTCCAAGCTGCAAATGGTCAATTCTTAGGGACATATCAACAAATACTGCAGGAAGAGATACTGCAAACAGATGGTCTATCAATCAAAAGAACTCAGCAGAGCATTTTTTTTAAAAACAATTGTTGACAGCTGCAGCTGGTACTTTTTTTTTACGTTTCAAGGGTAGGAGATTTAATGAACTTCCAACGCTGACAGTTCAACAGACCTCAACTGTGCTTTAAGAGAGTTTACATCTGCTCCATTTCGCTTGTGAATTTCACCCTACAGGTCTGTGCCTGCACAACAGTCAAAATAGGGTCTGTATGAATGGGACACTCATGGTTCTTATGGAGATTGGTTTTCTGTCCCATGTGAATCACACTCCAACACCCCTCTGGCAAAAATGGTGTCTGTCAGAACTAGAAAGCTGTCCATCTGTATCAGCTGCAGTGGATTTCAAACAATCGGTAATTTCAGTCACATTACTTACATACGATGTAAAATATAAAGCATATCGGAAGTAAAGGTAACAGCACTTCCCCAGCAAGAACTAAACTTGATTGTCGATCAGCTGATGGCACACATCCTTTACCTATATTAGATATAATCATAGACATGCATGAACTGCAATTATTAAAAGTACTTAAATTAGCTGAACTCTTATTAGAAGCAAAAACCAAAAGAACTGCGGATGCTGTAAATCAGGAGTTCTGAGGAAGGGTCACCGGACCCGAAACGTTAACTCTGTTTTCTCCTCCACAGATGCTGCCAGAACTGCTGAGCTTTTCCAGCAACTTTGTTTTTGTTCTTTATTAGAAGCACTTTGCCATACCACCGCCACTAGGAATCCCTAATTCCCAACTTAGTCCATTAGCCCATAAGAATAGGAGGAAGCCATTCAGCCCCGGAGCCTCCACCACCATTCAAAAAGATCACTTCTGATCCCACGTTCTTCACTTGGAAACAGTAAGGACCGCAGATGCAGGAAGCTAGAGTCAATAAGTGTGCAGCTGGAAAAGCACAGCAGGTCAGCCAGCATCCGAGGATCAGGAAAGTCAATGTCAGTCCTGATGAAGGGTTTCAGCCCGAAACATTGACTTTCCTGCTCCTCGGATGCTGTCTGATGTGCTGTGCTTTTCCAGCTCCACGTTTCTTAGCCCCACATTCCTCACATTCACTTTCTAGCTTTTTCTCCATTACCTTTCATTCCCATACTGATCAAGAATCTATCTATCTCAACTTGAAATATAGCCATACTTCTCTGTGGCAGCTCTCTGAGAGAAGACGGTCTTCCTCATCTTAGGCTTAAATTGGTGTCCCATAGTTCTGATACTATCCCCTCTGGTCCTAGACTCTGCCATGAGGGGAAACATCTTCCCAGCATTTACCATGTCAGGCCCCTTAAGAATACCATATGTTTCAATGAGATCACCTCTCATTCCTTTAAATTCCAATGAGTAGATTCCCAACCTGTTTAACATTTGCTCATAAGACCATCCCTCCATACTGTGGATTGTTCTTGTGAACTTTCGACTGCTTGAATTATTATCTCCAGTACAGTTAGTATAATAGGCATCGCACTTATTACAATGAAGTGACTGGGCAGAGCGTCCCACCCAGACCCAATCCCCCTATAACCCACCTAATCTACTCATCCCTGAACATTACGGGCAATTTAGCATGGCCAATCCACCTAGCCTGCACATCTTTGGACGTAATCTTTATCTCAACCCGTAAGATATATAAAGAGTGTGTTGAAAAACCTCTGAGTTCAAACTAATATAATATTAGTCTTGGAACATTAACTCGGTTGGTCTCTCCACAAACGCTCTCAGACCTACTGAGTTCATGCTGTATTTCTTGTCATTAGGTCCAGTTCAGATTTAACCATTACTTTAACTATAGTAGAACAATTTGTAATCTTCGTAAAAAAGCACATCATCCAATGTACCGTGAAGGAAAATCCTTTTTAATTCATGCGTCTTTGACTCCTGGTAACTGTGATAAAATTTTGGAAACTACAACTGCTGATATACTTAATGATTCAGAATTCTTTCTAGTCACAAAAGCTACACTCACTGGGAGCAACTTTTGTAAATCCAGAGGCAGGCTGCCACAATTTTCTGTCCATTAATTTTAATTGGTGGAATCAGCACATACTTGAATTTTCCATTGATATTTTGATGATGGGTGACCTAAAATGATTAAAATTATTAAAAGCAAGCGTTGATAGGGTAGACACAGAAAATGTGCTTGCTGTTGTGGGAGAAAGTTAACTCGATACAAGATAGAAATCAAGAAATCAAATCATAAATTCTGTGGAATCTTCCTTACTCAGAGAATGGAGAGAGTATAAAGCACATTACTATATGCTTCCACTGAAGTGAGCATTGACACATGTATAAAGATGACTTAGCAGTAATGTCCCTATCTCTTAGCTAGGAGACCTAGGTACAAGTCCCACCTGCCCCACTGGTGAACAAGTTGACTAGAAAGTACCTGGACACGTAAGAAGAAGCTTTTTAAGTGTTAGAGGAAGAAGTTAAAGAGAACAATTTGCAATAAGATTTAGATGAGGAGGAATGGATTGGAGACTCAACTAGATTGCAGGTTCTGACAGTGGGATAGTTAGGCCAAAGTGATCTGTTTCTGCTCTGTAATTTCTGTTCTCACTGTGAAACTGTACTCTCGGGGGTTTTTGAAGCATAGAATCTTTTACCTGAAAGGATGCCTTTCAAGGGAAATGGCATAAATATTTGATGCAGACTGTGATACAGGGAAATAAGGAGATAGCGAGAATGGGAATTAGATTTCGATGGAACTCGCAAAAAGCTGACACTGACAGAATGGGCCAAATGGTCTCCTGCACTGTAAACTTCTCATGTTTGAACACTGTCGAACGAAAAGTTTGGTAAAAATGGCTGCATTATCAGACAGTATGTTACTTCTGGAGTGAATGTATTGGCTACGGTTTTATCTTTGAACACTCACCAGCTCTTCTCACTGTATCCACAATCAGCGAGCATGACAGACAGATCACAACGATTCCACCCAGGGGACTCTCAGAAACCATTTGGATCAGACGGTAAGCTGGCAACGAATCAAACAGAATGAAACAGTGCTCACCCATCACACGCACAGCACACATTCCAATCTGTCTGCCTTCTGCCTTGCCTTGGGAGGTGCAGATATTCAGGAAAAGTACAAGGATGATTTTCCTGTTTGAAATAATGGGATCTCCTGCATTTAACTAACAGAAAAATTGGACAGAACAAACTGCACCTCCCCAGCAATCTGCCAGGTATCCAATCATTTAAAATCAGCAGACAGATAAACAAGTGGCCTCAATATGGATGTGTGCACCTCTCTGTTCAGTTCTCTTTTCTCGGGAAACTCACACTGTTTCTTTGGCCTCCTGCTGACCTGTGCCTCCAATCCTGGGCTGTGTATACATTGCTACTATATTGAGCACAGGAAACTGTGATAACACCAGGCAGTGAAATTTGACAGCAACCAGCTGACGTCCCCAGACAGAGAACCGCAGGACGACCGAACTCATAATTCAAAGTAGGAGCAACAAGTACCCAATCTGACATTCTAGCACATGGGATGGGCTATGTTCAACAGGAGATATTTAGAAACACTGAGGCACACGTTTGTACACTTCATCTGTTTCTTGGGAATAAAATCATCACCTTAGATACCAATTTCTGGGTACCTGGTTTTTGCACATAATCCACAGCTGGTGGCATGGGCACTCTTTCTGTCAGTCCTTTTTGCATAGAATCCCTACAGCGTGGCAACAGGCCCCTCGGCCCAACAAGTCCACACCGACCCTCAGAGCATCCCATCCAGATCCATACCACTATAACCCACCTCATCTACACATCTCTGCGTACTATGGGCAATTTAGCATGGCCAATCCACCTAGCCTGCACACCTTTGGCCTGTGGGAGGAAACTGGAGCACCCAGAGGAAACCCACACAGACACAGGGAGAATGTGACACAGACAGTCACCCGAGGGTGGAATCAAACCTGGGTCCCTGGCGCTGTGAGGCAGCAGTGCTAACCACTGACCCACCTTGGTTTTGGGCTACCCTGGTGAACTCCTGCAATCCGTGATGGATCAATCTAATTACACAAATATGGATGCAAAACAAGTTCAGGATGTCTCTGTAAATAATCATCATGGCTCAACTGGGAATAGTTTTTCAGTGTTCCACAATTTGTCTCAAAACCATAAAAATACATAAAGATGCCCATGACACACACAAACCCAATGTACCTGACAGACATCTACCCTGGACAAAAGTAAGCCACACCAGGTTGCTTCAGTGAAAATTAAAATGCCTCTAATTATTGTATCACACTTAACTTCAACAGGAGGATTGAAAACAAAAGATTTCCCTTTTATGCAACTTAACTATGCTGCTTCAAGCCCCCTCCCAAATATACACAAACTTTCAAACATGATAAAGACAGACAGAAAACAAATAGTTAACGCATAAACTATGGGTAGAAAAGAATATGGAAAGGATAAACAACATTTCAAAGAACAAATTTGAGACTACAATGTGGAAAATCCTTTCTCCCTCAAATCCTTTTGATTTTTACAATGGTGAAAAGCCACTAACTGTCTGTTGATGGTCATCTCTCAATTCAATGGCTAAGCAGATGAACTTAGGTCTTTTCTTGTATGAAATTCTTTCTTTCAAATGTTCTGAGGTTTTCTGTCTTTTTCTCCAGATAAGAAGAAAGAGAGACAGAGAACATGAGAGGATGCTGTCTCCGGGCTGGATATTCTCCACACACTCTATGGCACTTACAGCTTCTCAACATTCTGCAGCTCAGCAAATCAGAAAGCTATTTCCTGGCAGAATCACTTTAGCTCAAAAGATTCTTGTGCCATTCAGTCTCAAATGCCCACCTTTGATGTTTCCAAAAGCAATATTGTACGGCACAGCCCAAGAAGTTGCAACAGTTGTTTTGAGTTGTGAAACTCTTCTGGTTTTGAATGAAAGTGGTCCAACTTCCAGTTCAGTTTCCAGTCAAATGAAAAACGTGATCTTTTACGTAATGCAAAAAAAACCAAGATGGGGGTATGTATTATGCAATGTCCTTCCAGTTATTTCAGTCAAAGGGATTCCCGAAGAAGCTGTCATGCTGTATCTCTCCGAGCTTCACACTACGGATGCCGCACACTGCCAACCCACACACTCGGGGGCTTCCTGAATTATCATCCACTTACCTCCCAATGTTTCCTGGAGGTCATGAGGTCTGAATCTGAGCCAATCCATTGAGCAGGCTGCCTCATTAATCTCTACACTCCTTCCATGTCACTGAATCCTACTCTCACTGATTCCCCACACCACCACCTCTGCACCCCCCCACATCCCCACCCCCACTAAATGAGGGTTTTGCTGTGCCCTACAAATATGCAATTTGTACCTGAACTTACGTTTAACAATCCAGATCTTGCTCAACTTTTTTGTATCACAGACCTTCACACTCCAAGTTGAAGGTACTACTCCTGCTAACAGGAGTACTAAAAGCATCAATATGATCACTGTGGTTTCAGTGGGCCCTATTTAGGGAAGAAAACGTGAACAAAATTAAGTCAATTTGTAAATTAGGGAATAATAACCATTTCTATTTAATCCTACTTTCAAAATAAGAATACGCAGCATGCAAATAACTGTCTGTGGGCATTTTTACAACCCAGGCTAATGCAGAGGTAGAATATTCAGATTGTCAAAAATATTTTGAAATGGCTCATGATTACAGTCCCAACATGTGGAGTTAGGGAGTGAGTGGCAGAAGGGATAGCATGTTGTTAAATTTCTGTGAAAGAAGAAGGAGACTACAAGCTGATTGGAAAACGCAAGTCTAAAATGGGCTGCAGCAGCAAAGGGAGTACAGAGTCACCAATCACTTACACTCATGGCTCTAAGTTAATAAGGGTTCCATTTCCAGAGGAATTCAATTCAAAAACTGAGGGGTTATCTCAGGCATATATCGAACTAAGGGTGAACCACATTTGGAATCATGATCACCTCAGAAACAATGACAGAGTCACTGATGAGGGTGCAGAAGAAATTCACAAGAATTATAACCATGATGTAAAGGTTATAATTATCAGGAAAGGCTGAGGTTTTTTGATAACTGCAATAACAACGTTTCCATTCATAGCGGGGACAAAATTGAAAGTCATAAATACAATATAATCAACAAATTCTGTAGGAATTCAGGCAAATATTCTTTACCCAAAGAGAATTAAAAAAAGAGGGGTATGGAGTCACTATAGTTAAATCATGTGAAGGAGGTTGTGACCGGATAAGGTAAAAAGGGTTGAGACGAGGCTCAAGCCGAGCATAAATGCTAGAATGGATCAGCTGAGCCAAATCGTTATCTCTGGGCTGGAATCCAGATGAATCGCTGAGTAAATTACTTACTGAGAGAAACCAATGGGGAATCTTTTGTGCTTTTATAAATAGACAATATAGGGAAGAGATCTGTAATTGTGCAGCATGCCATCATTCCTGATTTCACACCACACAAATTCAACAGCTCCTAGAGGCAATAATGTACAGTACAGGTGCTATAACCCAGCTACTGCTAACACACACTCAGAAGGGCACAGAAAGCACGCATCTTACTGTTGATTGCCTAAGGTCACCCTGGTCAAATGCAAAGGGAGACTCAGATGCTTACAGCACAAAGCAGGCCATTCAGCCCATTGTGCCCAGGCCAGTCAACAAAGATCTGATTACACTAATCACATTTTCCAACTCTTGGCCCATAGCTCTAGAGGTTATGAACAATTTTTGATTATAAGCTCACAAACTGGCATTTTTTGTTGGATTTTATTTGATTTATTATTGTCACATGTACCTAGGTACAGTGAAAAGTTTTGTTTTGCTTGCAGCACAGATAGATCATACCATGCAAAGTGCATCAGGGTAATAGAACAGAGAGAGGAATACAATGTTACGGCTGCATAGAAGGTGAACAATCAGCAAGATCAACATTAAATTTAAAATTTGAGTGGTCCATTTGGAAGTCTAACATCAGTGGGGAAAAAGCTGTTCTTGAATCTGTTGATATGTGTGTTTATGCTTTTGCATCTTCTGCCCCAACAGAAGAAGTTGCAACTGGGTTGGGAGGCGCAGTTTGAGAATATCTGATGATTCAGTTCCAGAGCAGTCTGTCACTTGGGGTAAATCTTGACTGAACTCTAATTAGGAGCAAAGGAACAGGACAGTATACTGTACCTTCAGTGTAGATCCAGCAACCAAATGCACCACTAAGGAGAAGGAACTGCAAGATTTGGAGTAGATTTTGAAAAAGCTGAAGACCTGGAATTATAAGCAAATTCTAATCAGCAAGGAATGTTCCCACAGTGAAATTAATATTCTATACAAAGAGCCAGAAATTGAAATTTGTAAGAGTCACATTTAGATGATTCATAGCCTCTATTATTATGTCATGACATTTTTGAAAACTTTCAATACTTTTGCTTACATTCTGTTTTGACCTCAAGGAAGAATGCAATTATTTCACAAATCAATGCTGCTGCTGCATTAGCCAATGCAGTGATGGATAATATCCTTGCACAGTCATGTAGCAGTTGAGCACCTGAAACAGAAAATTTATTTTCAGCTCATGCTACTTTGAAAGCAATTTGCAAATTTCAAACAAGGTCTGCTTTGCCTTAAAATTGTGCTTCTCGTGGATCTTGCATGTTACAAATAGAACACCTCCCACCAGGCTTATTCTGTTTCAATGCGATGGACACACATTTAGAAATAGTGCTAAGGTCTTTCCATTCTATCTCAATAACATACTTTGACTCAATAATCTAGGACCGCATCAATTTCCTATATTGGGCAACCTGCCGCATTCTGTGATCTTCTCCATTAATGTTCTCAGTAGATGCCAAAGGTTTGCATCAAGAGATTGCAGGCTTGATCTTTTTATTTTGCCCCAGGTCATGAATGGAGAGCCAGGACATTTCCCAGCCCCACAAACCCGACCCGACCTGTTTAAAAGCGACCTCAACGGTTGGATTTTTGTACTAAGATGTAGGTGAAAGCAGGAGCTGTCCCAGACACCGTGACAAAGAACTTGGAGGCTTCTGGGTGTGGAGGCGTAATGGCTGAAAGTCTGTGCCCCGTGCTCCAGTGCATTGTTTTTGAAGATGCGAAGATAAAAGATAAAGGAAAGCTGACTTCATATCCCTCACTCCCCATCACCATACCCCCACATTGCCAGTGTCCCAACCATGCCAACCAATGCCAGTTCGAGCCCTCAATCTACTCTCCATGGCTCTTTATAACCCCTATGCCAAACAGTCATGTCAGTCCATGTCCATTCCTTATCCTCTTCCCTTAAATCTACCATAAAACCTCAATACGTATCCAATTTGGAGAAACCTCAGGACCAATGATGAGATTGAATAATTATTGTGTCAGTTGATGTATTTAGAGTCAGTGAGTCTTACAGCACAGAGACAGACTCTTCGGTCCACCTCATCCATACCGATCAGATATCCAAAATTAATCTAGTCCCCCTTGCCAGCATTTGGCCCATATCCCTCTAAACCCTTCCTATTCATGTACCTGTCTAAATGTCCTTTAATTGTTGTAACTGAACCTGCATCTAGCACTTTCTCTGGCAGTTCATTCCACATATGAACCACCTTCTGTGTGAAAAAGTTGCTTCTCAGGTCCCTTTTAAATCTTTCTCCTTTCATCTTAAAATTATGTCTTCTAGTTTCGAACTCCACTAATCTACGGAAAAGACCTGAACTTTCTATGCCCCTCATGATTTTCTAAACTTCTTTAAGGTCACCCTTCAACCTGCTATGCTCCAGTGAGAAGTGCCCCAGCCTATCCAGTCCCTCCTTATCACTCAAACCCTCCAGTAACTTCCTTACAAATCTCTTCTGCACCCTTTCCAATTAATAATATCCTTCCTATAACAGAGAGACTAGAATTGTACACAGTACTCCAAAAGTGTTCTCACCAACATCCTGTCGAACCACCACATGACATCCCAACTCCTATACTTAGTGTTCTAAGCAATGAAGGCAAGCGTGTGACTCAGCTCTCGAGGAACAATGTACTTGAACACCTAGGTCTTTCTGTTCAACTACACTCCCCAGATTTATCCAAATCAAACACTATTTTTTTTCACAACTTGTTGATTAAATAATGCTCACGATATTTAACTCCCGTTCATCCCTTATAAACACAAACTTCTGAATTCATAGTCCAGCTTCTGTAACTGTAGCCACTTTGAACTGTGGTTAAAATGTTGAACAGATGAGCATCCCACTCTGATAATGACAATTTGTGAAATTAGTCACGATTGGTAATCCCGCAATGATAGCCTAGAGCCTGTGTCCACAGACAGAGTGAAACATGAGCATTTTTAAAGAAGACCACAGATTGTTTATTTTAACTAGTTAAAGGACAGGAGATCAAAGTGACAGATTAGCAACTAGTTTCAGTTTGACAGTTCTTTTGATGGTTTCTTACCTTGCATCCTGTTAAATATCTTGTCCGTTCTTTTGGCAAATCCACTGAGTTCATGTACTTGTTACACATTTTTGTGTCTGCTTTAACAATCCAAAAGATCTCTTGACTTTTCATAAAGTGCACGTTACCTTTTCAAAAATAAACCTTGACCTTCTCCCAAGGACAATATCCAAAAAGCTCAATACCTCTGTAAAAGGAGATCCTACTACTCTAAAGAACTTCTGACCTTCTCATGTGAGATCTAAAGTGCAGAAGTTGTGTTTTGGACATCCCACTAGCCTGAGACAGCTATGCTTTTTCACATGAAACTGCCTTTGTGAACCACAAAGGTACAAATTTGAACCCAGCTCCCTGGGAAAATGTTGGGGCCATGTTTGGGAGTGGAATTTGGCCTCTGCTGGTAACTTTGTAACAGTACAGGGAAAGACTCCCTGTCTATGTGTGAAAATTCAGGTATCCGTCTACAAACCTCCATCCTACTAATTTTTCCTGGCATGAAAATATACCGTGCTTCTACTTTTACATCTTTAGTATCACAGAGACATACAGCACGGAAACAGACCCTTCAGTACAACTGGTCGATACCAACTGTAATCCCAAACTAAACTCGTCCCACCTGCCTGCTCCTGGCCCATATCCCTCCAAACATTTCTTATTCATGTACTTCTCTAGATGTCTTTTAAATGTTGTAACTGTACACACTTCCTCTGGAAGTTCATTCCACAGACGAACTACTGTCTGTGTAAAAAAAACTGTCCCAATGACTTTGTTTAATCTTTCTCCTCTCACCTTAAAAATATGTCCCCTAGTCTTGACATCCCCCACCCACAGGTAAAGACGCCTTTTCTATACCCCTCATGATTTCATAAACCTCTATAAGATCATCACTCAACCTCCTACGCTCTAGTGAAAATAGTCCCAGCCTATCCAGCCTCTCCTTATAAATCAAACAGTCCATTCCCAGCAACATTCTGGTAAATCTTTTCTGAACCCTCACCAGCTTGGGAAATATCTTTCCTATAACGGGGCAACAAGACCTGGACCCAGTACTCCAGAAGAGACCTCACCAACGTCCTGTACAATTGCATTACGACATCCCGACTCCCATACTCAAAGGTCTCTTTGTTGAGGCTGAGCGCAGGCCCAATAGTGGAATATCATTTTTAACTAAGAAATGGAACCGATTACCAGACATGACTCACCGTGTAAAATAAGACGATATGCATCGGTCCTCTCGCCGAACATATTTTCCACCGTGCAGGTGTAGGTGCCACAGTCTGTTTTTGTGGCTTTAACAATGATCAACTTGCTGTTGTTTTGTACCAACTGATAATGTTGGCCATTCTTTATCAAGTCAGGACCTTTCCTCCACAGAATGGAACTCACTTTCCCGGCAGTCACGTGACAGGTCAGTTCAACAGTGGAATCCACATAGGTAGCTTTGATCAAAGGTTCTGCCAGTGGTTCTGTGCCGGAGAATAATTACTCAGGTAAATAGGTCTGAGCATGAGGTATTATGGGCCAGACCAGACTCCTCGAAACATCTTAAGAAGGTGGCCTAGACCCTAGCCTTTTCTTATTTATAAAGGCAAATGTGAAGTGCCTGTTCCAGATGCCAAACTACTCGATGTTAAGCAAAACACAACTTATTTAAACACTAAAGTTAAAATACAACCAAGGAAAGGGAATTTAGAACAACTTAACACTATTGGAAAACTTATCAGAAAAATAGAGACAGTAACTATTATTAATTAGCTGTTCCAATATAGTAACATCTCATAAACACATCCCTTGGCAAAAAGGAAAATTCAGACACAGATTCTCACATGCAGTTCTCCAGCCCAGGAGGAAACAAATAAAATCAAGAGAAAATTCAGAGAGTGGCAGCCAGGAGATATTCACCGAAGCTTCCAACTCTGTTGAGATCCCAGTGGCTTCTGCTTAAAGGAAAACCCAGAAATCCTGATCTGTAAGAGCTGACCACACCCATTCAGGCTGTTAAAAAAAAACCCAAGGCCTCCCAAGCTGTTTACTCAAATGGTCCTGCTAGACTACTGCTAGACACCTCTGGCTTACAAATAAGAAAATTTTCATGTAAACACTTGACAAATTCCACTCCATCTATGCCCTTAATACACTGGCAGTCCCAGCCAATGTTTTAATTAAGTCACCCCGGACTCTTATAAACTCCAGAGGATACAGGCCGAGCCTCTTAAGCTATTCCTTATAAGGCAGTCCACACACTCCAGGTGTTAGACCCGCTGGTGACACATTCATCACCCTACCTGTCTCAGCAGCAGGAATCTCACTTTATGCCTCTCGCAAGGTTAATTTTACGCACCATTCATCCTTGTTGATACGGTGAGGCTGAAAAATCCCACACTCATAATCCAATCACAAAGTCTGTACACCTCCAACATCGCCCTGCTGTATCCCTACTTCTGCTGAAATTCTCAGCCCCCTCTCTCCCCCTAAAGTTGGGGAGGTGGTGGCCGAGTGATAAGGTCACTGGTCTATCATCCCGAACCCCAGTCTGTTGTTCTGAGGGACATAGCGTAGAATGCCACCATGGTAGGTGGTGAAATTGGAATTCAATTTCCTTCCTAAAATCTGGAATTAACTGGCGACCATGTAGCCTCTGTCAGTTGTCTTAAAAGCGTCTGGTTCGCTAATGTCCTTCAGGAAAGGAAATCGGCCATCCTTACCTGGTCTGGACTGCATGTTGCTCTAGCAATGTGGATGAGTTTTAACTGTTCTCTGGGCAATTAGAGATAGGGCAATAAATGCTGGCCCAGCTAGCATACCCCACATCCCGTGAATGAATTTTAAAAGAAAACTCCTTTATTCTAACGCTCTCCTGGCTGGTCTCCCAAACTCTGTCCTTCAACACGTCTAAAATTCCATTGCTCCCACCCTGTCTGCTACCATATCCCATCACACATCATCCCCATCCTCACTGGCATGCATTGATTCTTTTATCTGCTGCATTATTAGCCACTTAAGGGCCTCAGTGGGCTCAAGTGAGAGCTCAAGGGCCACCTGACATGTCCATTGTATTCCACAGAATGGGAGTAAAGTTGAGGAAGGGGCAGCACAGTGGCTCAGTGGGTTAGCACTACTGCCTCACAGTGCCAGGGACCTGGGTTTGATTCCACCCTTGGGTAACTGTCTGTCTGGAGTTTGCACATTCTCCCCATGTCTGTGTGGGCTTCCTCCAGAAGCTCTGGTTTCCTCTCGCAGTCCAAAGCTGCGCAGTCTCAGTGGACAGGCCATGCTAAATTACCCCTAGTGCCCAGAAATACAGGGTAGGGGGTAGGGGGTTGGTCTGGTTGGGATTCTCTTCCAAGGATCGGTGTGGACTCGATGGGCCAAATGGCCTGCTTCCACACTGTAAGGATTCTATGAAAGCAGTGGGCACTGTGTTTTATGCAGAACATGCTGGTGGGCAGCTGTGAAGTCCCAGCCCTGGATCCTTGCGTCACTGCCCTCAGGCAAGACAGGATGTCCTCCCCACTGCACTTCCACCTTTCTCTTCTGTCAGCCTGATGCCAGATCACAAACACTGACTGTCACTGCTCCCGAGCCCGGGAAGACCTTTTAGAACGGAAATAAGGAGAAACTTCTTCAGCCAGAGAGTGGTGAATCTATGGAATTCACTGCCACAGAAGGCTGTGGAGGCCAGGTCATTGAGTATAATTAAGACTGAGACAGACAGGTTCTTGATTATCAAGGGGATCAAGGGTTACGGGGAGAAAGCAGGAGAATGACGTTGAGGAACTTATCAGCCATGATTGAATGGCAGAGCAGACTTGATGGGCCGAATGGCCTAATTTCTGCTCCTATGTCTTATGGTCTTAACTCCTCACAGCCTCTTCTATTAAGCTCATTGGTATCATTGTTCAGATTTATTAAATCAAGGTCTGCAGCATGATCTAAAAATAGTAAATGTGACATTCATTCTCAATCCTGTTACTATCTACTTCTACCCCTCCCTCCTTCACATCTCTGTTAAAAACTTCTATCGGTCTGATTTTTTCTTTATTCATTGAGAGGATGAGGGCGTCACTGGCTAAGCAGTATTTGTTGCCCATCCCTAATTGCCCAGAAGGCAGTTAAGAGTCAACCACATTGCTGTGGGTCTGGAGTCACATGTAGGCCAGACCAGGTAAGGATGGAAGTTTCCTTCCCTAAAGGACATTTACAAACCAGTTCACCACTATAATAAAGAGGATGTTGCCAAGTATCAAAGGTATGAGTTATAAAGAAAGGTGGATATGTTGGGACATTTTCCACTGGAGCACAGGAGGTTGAGAGGTGACCTTTTGAAAGTTTATAAAATAGTGAGGGGTATAGATATGGTTCATGAG